GAGCAAGAGTTCTGATCGAGTTTTCCCCGGCAACGAAGGACCTTGGTGAGAGTGAATTGGGAGTTATTTCTGCTGATTGAGGCAACCAGAGAAGTCACGCTTGGTGTGACGATTGACAGTTTTAAACTCGGGAAAAAAATAGCTGATGCATCTATATTGTATTAGGGATTTTTAAGGATAACAGTTGAAATTGCCAAGATCCTGAAATTTAATTGCCCGTTTCATTTTCAACTAAACCCATTGTGGTTCCGAATGCCGCCACATAGGATGCCGATTTTAAGATAAAGCCAGTAGTGCTGTCCGGTTAAAATTAGGGGATGGGATCATAAAATGACCATCTTAACGTCTCAGTTCGCTAATTTTCAGATCTAAACGGTTGTGAGGCTTCATTGGAGGCGTAAATTTAGTGCCATTTTAAGCAAATACAATGAAAACTTCTTCGTTCAGCATTTAGGTGTTGGTTGATTTCATCGTGGAACCTCGAGAGGTTTTGTAATGAGTGTTCATGCGTGCCAAACAATCCAGACACATTCACAATATACGCGGATGATTGTGTTTCTACACTTGATGTAAACACGGTTTCATCACCACTAATTAAGCGGATGCAACAATTACGGTTTCCATGGGCTGGACTCGGTTGGAACAGCATGCGTCGGTTCCTCTTAAAAATCCCCGGCGGCTAAAATGAATTTGATTAACAATTAGTCTGAAATAATTTCATGGGTTAGGATGTGTTTGTGCGATTAGAGGTTTCAGTACAAAAAACGCGATTTCAACTGTGCCAAATCCACGGAAACTTAATGCTATTAGTAGGAGGCGTCGGATTAAGTCTTTTTTGTTTCTTCTCTGACCTGCCAAGATGACCACATGATTTGTACTGAAACACACGCGATTTGGGTCAGAATCCACAAACACAAAACGCTTTTCACACGGACCAATAGCTGTGATTTGGGATATTGGTCGCGTAGAATTTACTTCCACGATCGACTTGAGTTTGAGTCGTGCGTTTGTCGAATTAACAAGCCATCCAGTTGACAATGGTAACGCGGAAACAGACTTCGTGCGCCCCTGGAGATCACAGTTGACGCAAAGGGGCAATCTCCCCGTTGAATTTGGCCTCGACTTCTCACCGATGATGCAATAAGGCCCTAGTGTGGTCACGATTCCGAGGGCTAAACACACTAGCCTGCGTGTGCCTAGTTGATTGGGCTCAATTAAACTCGAGAGCGCGGGCTGAACACACAAGAAGTGTGGTTGTACGTGATCACAGGGGCGCACCAAGTTCAGATACAAATCCGCACGCACGCACGCACACAATGGCTTGGTGGGGTGGATGACTCGTTGTCGGACCTGACTACACGCCGCATACTTGTTTTAATGAGAGCGCGAGCGAGGCCCGTGTGCACGTCCTAGACGGGTGTGCGCACCCGTCGTGCATAAGCCCACTTTTCGTTCCATTGTTTTTCTTTGTGCACGTTAGTGTGTGTGTGTGTGTGCGTGCGTGCGTGCGTAGTGCACGCGCAAGTGCTATGTGCGTGCAAGCATCTGAATGACATTGAAAAAGCCGCCTGCTCGCCACATCGGCGCGCAACGTGCATATTAATGTAATCATAACGTGCCGGGACAACAAATTGACTCATCACCTGTAATTTACGCTGCGAGGGAAGTGTTGTGTCTGCGTGCGAACACGACAAATACCTACCTCAACATGTCGTATTGTTGAATGGGTGTCACCACTAAACGTCGACCTGATCACGAGGCTGAAAAGCAGGCTACTTTAAACGTGTTAGCAAGAACCCCCTTTCAAGGTGTTAATCCTCGTGGCACGTGGCTATGAAGGATTCACGGCGTAAAGATTAACACCTTCACTGAAAACGTTAAAACTGATTCATCTGTTTATTGGAAAACGATGACGTGGCAACTCCGTATTCTGCACTGCCACTTTACAGACAATTTGGCTCACACGCAGCACTTCTTGGGTAATTAAGCATTGACTAAATAATAACTTGAGCATACACTGACAGTTGGGTTTGAGGTGAATTATGTACATAAGTGCTTGCGTGCACACACCGGAGTGTCATGCGTGGAACGACTTGAATTACCCTTTAAGCTCGCTGTGTCTTGGCCACGCCTTAGCTTTCATGTGCGGACGTGTGCGCGCTATTGAGGCACGCTAGGTGATGCTTAACATACGCGCAGTATCTGCAGTAAAAACACATTGGTGTGTCTGACTGAATAGTTAACATTGTGTCGTTAAGTCGTGCGACAGAATCGGAGGTAAGAGAGAGAGAGAGAGCGAGGGGAGACACGACTGCAGCCGAAAGTTTAATGCGCTCATACACAGCTGCACTCCCATGCGCCGTCCATCCACCACAACCGCCCCCTCCCTTACCTCTCTCGGGCTTTGTCTGCGGCATGTCTTCGATTTTCCATCTGTGGGTGGTGGGTGAAACGATGTTATGCGCGCACATACACACGCACGCGTGCACACGAGCATGCGCGCGCACGCGGCCTAAACTTCATTAGCATTAATGCTAAGGAACCTCGGCCTGGAATGATTTGCTTGAAAATGAAAATATCACTCCTTCGTATGTCATTCGCCTGCGTCATTACGAACGCTGGGGTCTCGCCCGCCACTGCTCTCTTGCGACGTTCTCTTTACTTCAATTCGCTCATCCCGAAACGGAATTTTATAGTAAAATAAATACTCACAGAGTAAGCCACAAGTGAACTTGTGCTCATATTAGAACAGTCATTTTCACGCTTTTAATTTTTTTTTCTAAAGATGGCTGCACCTCGCTCTAACGGTCCTCATTACCCCAGACCTCTTGTTGCATTGCTCGATGGTCGAGACTGCTCAATAGAAATGCCCTTACTCAAGGACGTGGCCACTGTCGCTTTTTGTGACGCATCAGGCACCAGTGAAATTCACGAGAAGGTCCTTAATGAGGCCTATGGGGCCCTCCTGTGGCATTCCATTACGCTCAATCGGGAGGATCTTCAAAAATTCAAAAGCCTCAAGATCATTGTCAGAATCGGCAGGTAAGGTTCCGATTGATACCCTCAACAGCCCCACTTTAGCGGCTATGATAATGTGGACATTAAAGCCGCTGGTGAAATGGGTATTGCTGTTTGCAACGTCCCTGGTTATGGCATCGAAGAGGCGGCTGATACCACCCTCTCGCACATTCTGACGCTCTACCGGAGGACATACTGGCTTGCCGATATGGTTCGCTCGGGAAAGCGGATCAGTGGTCCAGAACAATTGAAGGAAGCCGCGACCGGTACGGCTCGCATTCGTGGCGACACTTTGGGAATTATCGGCCTGGGTGAGTCATCAACATCGAATTTTATTCCTATCAAAACGTGCCATTTTATTTCTCGAAGGCGGGGATTGTTTGGTTGCTTTTAAACGCCCATTCATTTCTTTCGTGTGCCTAAATTCATATCGATTTTCTTTTTTTTTTGAATTCTTATCTCCTTGTATTTTTTAGGTCATTTTCACAAACTACTGGCAATCAGTTTTTATAAGCTTTCTTTATTAGTTACTAATTTATTTAGCGTTCTAACTCAGTAAGCTTCACATTATCGAAATTTTCTGCCTGTCTGCTCCTGGCTTGTTCACTCTTACTGGAATCTCACCGTTGGGTTGTATTTTTGCCGCGTTCTAGCTAATTGAGCGGAATTCTTTGATGCTATCGCCGTTGAATGGTATTGTTACATGTGTGGTGTAGACTCAGGAATTTATGAAACAGCTGACGTGATAAACGTGCTATTATCTGAATATTTGTCTAATCTGGGCACCCGAGTTGGCTATCAGAGTTCTAAAACCGGTAAGATCCCTTAAATAACACATTGCGTAACAATATGATCTGTTGACCAGTAAACGATGGGTTGAAAGTCTCCGCACCGGTATAGGCACGTGGGGTCTGTTGTCTTGTGGTGTGGAATGCGCAAAATAACTTTTATGGATGCCTTCTGGCCTCATTTTTGACAATAAAGCTAATTGAGAAGGTACGCGAACGTGGTCACACCTTGCCGTTCTCAGCAAGATCATCCAAACAGGTCAAATAACTACTAATCGTCTTTAGGGCGGATCTTACTAACTAGTGTATTTTTACAGGTCGGATTGGTGCAGCAGTGGCTCTGCGCGCACTGGCTTTTGGCTTTCGAGTCGCCTTCTATGATCCCTACCTCTCAGATGGTATCGAGCGTTCTCTCGGAATTATCCGGGTTTACCACCTGCAGGAACTCCTGTATCAGAGCGACTGTGTTACTCTCCATTGCACACTGCATGACCAGAATCGTGGCATGATCAACGAAGAATCCATCAAGATGATGCGTAAAGGTGATTTTCTCCACATATTAAGCATTTTTTCCGGTCTAATTGAAAAGGTATCACTGGTTTTGCCTCCTTGGATAAGGTGAAAGCCCTTTTACGCGTGCTTGTATGACGCATTAGACGGAGGTCCTGGTGAATTCAGCTTACGCAACAAGTCCTCTTAAGTGGAGTGGTTTTAACAGCCGCCTAGATTAACACTTGGCACATTGCCGGGGGCGTAGCACCTACTAATCGCACGATTTTTGCGTTTTTTTTAGGCGCCTTTCTAATCAACACCGCGAGAGCAGGTCTCATCGACGAACCAGCTCTGGCTTCTGCCTTGAAGTCCGGTATTATTCGTGCTGCTGCTCTTGACGTCATTGACTCGGATCTCAACACAGGTAGGCGACACTTCAACTTATTCCCACGTGTTCCTACAACGCTTTCCAAGTATGGTCGGTGTTTTAAAACCTAGTCTGTAGGGTCACTATTAGGTTGCTACTAGAATTACTACGACATCTGGCTAGACACCAAGTTTATTGTACATTTTTGAGGTTTACAGGACGCAGGGGTGACAACGTCACAAGATGTAAATCTAGTGCATGTGGAAGGCATGACGAGTGAGTCATTGTAGTGACTGATGTCAGTATGCATTTATAGGAATAGGCTCGGCCTTGAAAAAAGCTTCTACCAGGTGTTTGTTGTTTCACTAGGTCCGCTTAAGGATGCGCCAAATCTCATCGTCACGCCTCACATGGCCTACTACAGTGAGAATAGTATGCGTGAGATGCGTGAAGCCGCCGCCAACGAAATTCGACGTGCCGTCGTCAACAGGAATTCGGCTTGCTTAAGGAACTGCGTGAACAAGGAATTCCTCAACACTGGACCGACGGGTGTTTATGGCAGCCTCAACAGCCACGCCACGCCGCCCGCTCTTGCCGCCAACCCGGCCGCACTGAATAACCACGCGGCTGCAATGGCCGCGGTCCTTTCGCTGTCTCCACTCGCAGGAGCTGCGGGGGCCACGTCGATGGGTCTTTCTTTGCCCCCGGGCTTCCTCAGCGCCACGGCCAACTTTGCCTCAACGGCGAACCTTGGCGGACCGCCGAATTCTGTCGGAGCAAACAACGGCAACCTCTCGGGCCCACACGGAGGCCCAGGTGCCGGCGGCATCCTGACTAACAGCGGCCCCACTTCCATTCCTGCTCTCATTCCACCTCCCCCTGGCGGTGCGAATCCACACTTTACTCAGAGTGCTCTTGCTGGGCCCTACCCACCATTCCTGGCGTCAAATTTTGCGGCTAATATCCCCGGACTGACTAGTCAGCAGTCACAACCGGCCAACCAGCCTCCACCGTCCCTACCAACTCAGGCACCGCCACATTCACAGTCTGGATCGGTGTCTCAAGCACAGCTGTCGTCCCAACAGTCGAATCAAGGAGGGCCCGCCATCTCAAGGGCCGTGAGTAGTCCAGCCTCGAATGGTGGTGGAAGTGGACCTGGGGGGATAACCAGCGCGCCTAGCATCACATCCAGCGCTCCTCCTGTTCCTGAAAACAGCGTTAAGTCTTCGTGCTCCCCAAGTACGCCTATTGAGAGCATGCAGGCTGTGCTTCATGGGTAGGTATTTACAAAAGCTGCCCCAAAAATACTTTTTCTAAACCAAACACGTAGGCCCCAAACGCAACTACCTGGTGGTCGTGATTGTGTATAGAAGGTAGGCGTGTCGATAACATTCCACTGCGCCGTTGATGTTGGTTAGATGCTTTTAAGTGCTTTCATTCGATTGCTCACAGGTCAATTTTAAAAAGGACTGGTCGTCCTATGTTAGGTGCAAGCAGCGCTCGGTGATGAGTGGTTTGTGCACTGCTGTTACTCGACGTCAGTAACCAACGATTTCCCGAGACGCACTTTTTTTGGAAGCTAATGATCCATTCTTTCATTCACTCAAAATAAACCCAACACTTTCCTCCTTAGGGCGCCAAGCTTTTCCCCTTTTTCGAACATGGTGAACAACCAGAACTCCATGGTCCTACCGAAGAACGAGTAACTTAGCAGACGTAACATTCGGAAATCCCGCACGGCGTGAAACACCGTGCGCGCGAGCGTGCATTGTGTGTTCCAGTACCTCCACTTCTGCAACTTCGATTTGGTGTTCTTGGCATTTTGTCCTCATTTGTTTCGCTCTTTCCCGCGCTCTTCTCATCTTCCCACGGCAACTGTTTCCTTATTTTTTTAAGGTTTGGACAGAATAGCCCTTGCTCGTCGGCCATTCGCGCGCGCGCGCGAACCTGCTTAGTATGTGTGTGTGTGCGTGTGTTAGCGCAAGCTGGTTAGCTCATTATTTCCACACCCCATGTAACTCCCTGCATTTTCCACCTCTGTATATAATATAATCCAAGTTGTAAAACACTCAATCGAATACGAATTACCCCGTACCGGGACCTCGGTAATCTCATACCACCACTACTAGCGTGTGATTGCGCGCACCCCAACTACCTGTTTCTGTTTTTTTAAACAAGAAATTAAACTGTGGCGTTAGGCTACACCTCGTTGTGCTTCTTCGGTGGTTGGGTTTGCGTGGTTTCCCGACCAATCTCCTCGTGTGGTTCGTAAGGAAATACCACGGATCAAAGGCCGTTGGTGAAAACTAGCACATCGCAGGGGTTTGGGATGGCAAGACACCAGAACGCCATTTAACACGTGGGTGGTGACGTACGCGCGGCAAAGTAGTCTTGTTTGTAGCCAGGGCGCCGTACCCTATTCCTAGTGATTTAGTAGTTGTAATGGTCTGGAAGGGGATACATTCTAGGGTCGTCGTAGGCTTCTGTGACTCGGGTGCGTTGCTGCGACAGCTGTCATTGCCTAGCGGCAGTGAATCGGTCGGAGTGCAAGCCATCGGATTGGCCCACGTTGTTCGTTGTCAAGTTGGTTGTCTGCTAAGAGGCTGTCAACGCGCATAAATTATACCACTAGACATGTGGTGGTGGTTGTTGGTGGGCCTGCTGGGTTGCGTCTGGTTTCCAGAACGGTGAACGAGGTATACACTGGTTGAGCGCGAAGGCATCTGGTAATTTTGACTCAGGCTCTTGGTGACATGAAAAGCCTAGCAGCACACCCACACCGAGTTTGGACTAAATCGAGTCTGTTATTAAGGTGTGCGATCTAAATTTTGGGCCGTCGCGCCGTCAACGCGGGATTGTGAGTGAATTTGGCGTAGCAGACTGGATCAGAAGTCTAAAACCGAGCCAATGTTACGCCAACTAGAGATTTGGACTGACTTGAGCCATTTACTGTAATACCTCACTTCTCTAAATATAAGCCGGTCTAACATACAAATCGGTTTTTACTGACCGGAATTCTCCAGCTGATGAAATGTAATCCGTCACGAAGGCACGAACAACGAAGTTTGTGTGATATCGGTCACGTTTTTGGGATTGTATGGATAATCTACCCAGGTGTGATTCACAGCTTAATTAAACTTCGGCAGAAGTGATAGTAACACTTCAACAAGGCGCGAGCCATCAGCAAGCGACACTTAAGCCCCATGTCCTCCAAATGTCACCATAGCGATCGGGTTACTATGGCCAAAACCTACAGGAAAAAAGCACATTTAACTTGAAGCAGACGGCAGCAATTAGCTTGACTTTCCTAATCTACCCTGAATTTGTATCTTTCGTTTAGCCATAAGACCAGCTTTCTGCTGTCAATCAAAGTAACAAAGCCAAGTCATTTGGAACCAAGCATTTGTGTTGTTTTTGGACATCTGAATAGACGCATGATTTTTGAACTTCCACAATGGATTATCTGCACCAACACTTTCACCGTCTTAAAACGAGATTAGGTAGAGCCAAAATACGCCTACACTTACGCGTGTTACCGCGGTGCCATTGGAAACAGACTCAGTCACTAATTACTAGAGATAAGCAAACATTTTTCGCCAATCGCGCCTAGCAGTGTTTAACTCCAGTCACCGCTTGCATGTTTGCGATTCACCTGAGCTGCGTACATATTTAAACAGCTTGCTTTGCAACTAAGACAACTCATCTGCATGTTTGCCACGGAATCACGAAAATGACATCCATCTACAATCACAGCGACGGTATTTATGCAGTCGGCTTTGGGGTGGTGATGTAATATCCGGTAAGGAAAAAGACGTGACCCAGTTTCTGGGCATCACGTTATTGGCTGGGGTGTTCAAGCAGGCTTTTAACGAGTTTCACGTGCATTGTAAAACACGATTCCGGTGATCCGACTATTCTTCGTCTCTAAGTGACTTCTGTTTCTGTGCTGGAAGTGAAGATTGGAGCATAACACCACACCGAAACCACGGTGTGAGGGGGACGCATAACTAGGTTATTAAACGACTTCCGGAGAACGTGATTTATTGACACACTTTAATCTGCAGTATGATTATACTGCCAGTAATGCTTGATCGGCCTATCTCACATAAACAGTGCCTAGGCTTTATGTACCTCAATTTGGGTTATTCAGTGGCTGTCTGCAGTAAGTACACTTGGATCAAAGTCGAATTCTGCAGCTAACAGAACACACGGGAAGATTTCACGTCACCTAGAGGCGGAAATGAAAGCCGACTTGTTTGTGGTTCGAAGTCTTTTTTTTTTCTTAAAAAAATCCGGCCAAGGTAGGTCCCAAAACAGCCACGCATCTGGCACACCCTTGAAAACTCGTTGTCAGTAAAAATCATCGTAGCCAGTATGACCTCAGGCTAGTCGGAAATCCACAGTGCAACCGTCACCGTGTCCTTTGGAGTGGATTAACCAACTGAGGGGTCAAATTCAGCCTTGTGTGAAGGCTCAGCATTAAAATAAATAATGCGACCTCACATATTCTTAAGGCCAGTTAATGGATGCTCCAACGGGGAGCGCACAAGAGACAAAATTAGTTCCAATTTTTAAGAAAAACTTGACCCATTTGAGGTCAAGAAACGGCTGTCCCCAGTTTCTTGCGTTGGCTTATCGGCAACATCGTGGGGGATAAAGATTTTTAGCCGATAAAAACGTCGCTGGGTGGAGCGGCAGTAGCTAGCGTTGTGTCTTGGATAAAGTAGCCTAAATTAGAGGACGCACACTTGCAGACATGTGTGATGGACAACTCATCCCCACTAACCCAACTCAGGGCTATATTGCAGACAAAGCACTTTGTTTGGTGACAAGGTTAACAGTCTAGGTTGCCAAATGTCCAATCCAATTTAATGTTCTCTCAAACGCGACTAGAATATCGAAAATCCGGGGCACTTTGAATGCTGGGCTGCCAAATCTGTGTAGACAGCGTCGTCACGACACAGGAAGTAGGTGTGAGGCAGGGGGGACCTTGATTACAAGAAGGGGTGTGCGTTCGACTCGGGGTGTGATCGATGAGCCGAAGGTGTGTATGGCTCACCGGTCAGTAATCACGTGTTTTACCTCACGTGGTCTTGATAGGGTGACCCGAAGGGCCTACCGTATCCGCACCTATCTAAAAATCCCAACTTTAAAGCCGTCCACTCACAATCCTCTTATTTTATGCGCACAGGAATAAGAAAAAACAGCAATTAGGAAAATAATTTGGCCCTTCTAATCCAGAAGTGTTGAAAAGGTAAAAGAAGTTATGGATAGGGGGTTTTGTGACACTGCCAATGTACATCACAAATAAGTTGTCTAGACAGTGGATTAATGGGCGCGAAATCGATTTCCCATATTGTCTGGCCGCGGTTCGAACCAAGTTCATGTTAGACGCTTTGGGAGGGCTCTCTGAAACACAGGGCATGTGTTGTTGAGTTTCCGTTGAGTGAAGTTCTTCGACATCTTATTGGTCGAAACTGATTGGTTTTGAGTGGTCGAATTTGGCAAAAGAATGGACCCTAGTTAAATGCGGAGGTGTCCATAAGTGAACTACACTTCCATAAATCACAAACCAAGATCAGTGCGGGTCTATGAGAAACACTTTTTCACCAATTACAAGTCGTAACTATTTATACCTAGCTGGACTAACAAACACAATTATTTTCCGACCATCTGTGTTGTGAAGCTGGCGAGATATGAGGCCATTAGCGTAAACTATCTACCACCTGTTAACAAAGTGGTATTTAGCGATAAGGCAGTGGGTTTAGCAGGTGTATAAGACAAAGCACTTTTTTTACTGCGAGCATCCAATCTCTTTTTTGGCGTAAAATTTCACTAGTCGCTGCGCTTGTGAGCCTGAAGGCTGTGCATATCAAGTGTCACTACAGACTAGGCCTCAAATTGACTGACTGACTGACTGGGCAGATCGAATTTGTAGTTGCAAAGGCGGGGTAGGGCTTTGCCTACATCGGAATTTGTAGTCTGACGGAAATTCCAAACCACCAAGTGAATTTCGGTGTATGGTCACATGGTTGAAAATCACGTTTGGAATTGACCTGAATGAAAGAACACGTGACTGGAATGAACAATTTTCCTCGTGTGTCCTCGCCACATTAAACCCCCCTCGGTAACAGGTAATTTCGGGGCCACTAACCGCTATTACGAAAATAGACCGAAGGTGAACTGTTGGCATGGGCCCTCGAAGTTAAATTGAGCAGAAAATGTGAATAGTTGCGGAAAATTCCAGAGTCCAAATTAGCCAATGCTAATTGTGCCAAAA